CTACGATCTATTAGACATGTACGTAATATATAGTATATGGAAAGAGTGATAGAGAATTGAAGAGTGAGAGCGGCTGGGGCTCTGGAATTCACACGATTACTGTTGCTGGAAGCCCTCCCTGGAACTGCGCACAAATAGGATATAAATCTCTGAGCTCTAGATCTCGATCTGAGCTGCTATGCCTTCTGGTGCTGCACATCGCCTTCCATGCGCCACACCCCAAAGAGATAACTCAGCTTCTCGGGCGGGATGATGGGCGCTCCGTTTGCCTTCCGCAGGCACTTGAGATCGGCATCGGCTCCATTGGCCGCAGCGCTCAGCAGTGTGCTGGCCGCCCCATACGGGGAGGAGGAGCCCATGGGCGAGACCTGTGCCTCCAGCGCCTTCAGCAGTGAGATGTCACTGGAGCTGAGCATGCGACAGAGGAAATCGATGTATCTGCAAGATGGAATTAAGTTTGGGTTTAGCTCAGAGCGAAGGGAAAGCAGGAGGAACGGTTGCTGAGGGATTGGGTGTCGTTTCCTTACCTTGTGGCTAGCTTCAGGGTTTGTATCTTGCTCAGCTTATCGCTGGGCAGCGTCGGTATTATCTGCTGCAGCGACTTGAAGGCATCGTTGAGGCTCTGGGTGCGCTGGCGCTCCCGCACGTTGGCCATCACCCGCTGGTTGCTGAACTCGTCCGTCTCCTCCGTTTTGCTGGGCTTCCGTTTGAGGCGTCTCCGGGGCTTGCGAAAGGCCTTGCCGCCGCCATCGACACCGTCCAACAGGCTGCCCGAGCTGCCGTCATCCGCCAGGCAGGCCGGCGACATGCCACCTCCGTTGACTCCCACTCCAGCGGCCAAATCGCTGACCGAACTGAGGGCCGTGTGCCGCACATACTCCATGTCGTCCCGGTCCGAGCTGGAGTAGGCGCTGCCATTCAGGGAATTGGCCGGCTCGTAGGAATCGAAGCTGTGCCGGTAGCCGTTCTGGAAGTGGAGCTGTGGATTCTGTTGATGTTGATGTGTCGCCTGCTGCTGATGTGTCGCCTGCTGTTGCGGCGGCGGCTGCTGGTTTGTGTAGAGGGGCAGGAAGACCTGAGTCTTGTGCTCCGGCAGCTCCTCCTCGGGGAACTCAAAGTGTGAGTGGGGAGAGGTGCAGGTGCTCTGGTTCTGTGCCGAGGCCACCTCATCCACGGTGGTGGGTAGATAATCCACATAAATCTGTTGCTGTTGCTGCTGCTCCAGATGTTGCTGTTGCTGTTGCTGCTGCTGCTGTTGCTGTTGCTGGTGTTGATGCTGCTGTTGGTGGAGCAGCTTCTTGTGGTCCGGCTGCATGGCCAGTGTGCCACCGGAGTGGCAGTCATAGTCGCTGCTGCTTCTGGCCCGCTTGCCGTGCTCGTTCCAGGAGGAACCCGACCCGGCCACCGACTGCTGATCGAACCCGTTCTGATTGTTGCTGCTGCCGTTGCTGTTGCTGGCCGTGTGGTTGTTGTTCAGCTCCAGGCTGGCGCTTTGGGCACTGTGATTGCTGTGCGTGCTGCTGCTGGTGCTCAGGATCTCGTTGCTGGGTATATTGTAGTCGGTGTCCTCCAGCTCTGTAATGCCATAAGCCGCGTACTCCGATGGCAAGGGCGCGTACTGGGGATGCTGCTGCTGTTGCTGTTGCAGGGAGGACTGATGGATGTAGTGGCTGGAGTGCACATACGCCTGCTGCTCCACTTGGATTAGCTTGATCACATTGTGCTGCAGCTCCATGATATTCGGCAGCGTGGGCTTGTAGCTAATGTCCAGCAGCACTTTGGGCGACACGGAGCGAGTGCTCATCATTTGTGGGGCTTTCTTTTTGGCAAAGTTCTCGCCTAGACTTTTGATCAACAATTTCTATTCTTCTATCGACACAGTTTCTCAGCAGTTTTCTTGCTGTGATTTGGCACTTTGTCTTTGAAACGGAGTTCGATCGCTGTCTTGGAGTTTTTACGCGCTCGATTCTCTTGAAAGATCTTCACGCACTCGACGACGAAACGCTTCTGACGCACGATCCTTCCGGCCATTGCTCAAATTGACATTTTGCGGCTGCTCGTCGGCCATTCGCTGTGCGCCACAGCCACACTAGCCGTCCCACTCGCACACTCGAGCACACAAAGCGCTTACACACTCGAGACGCTCGCTCTCGCTCTCACTCTGGCTCTTGCTCTCTCGCTTGCTGGCTATGGCCGACGCAGGTATGACGTCAGCTATGACGCCCGCTGCGGTCTTTGGATTTTCTCAACGGCAAACGGCAAACGGCGGCTGCGAAATTTCTGCATTGCCCGGAGAGATTTTCGTTTGGGTTATTCTTTTTTCCCTTTGGGATTTTGATTCCGCGGGGAAAATTCTGGCTCTGAACAAATATATGCATAATTTATCGGTTGCATCTTACACTGATCCACTCAGGATATTCTCTCTTTCTGAGTTGTAAGAAATCATTCACAGGTTACATACAAAAAAACAAACACTTTGCTGAATCGTACTGGCATGAGTCTGATTAAGAAGACTTCATTGTGGTCAGCGGATGTCTCTCTTCTCAGTCGAAATGCAAAATATAGCTTCAATTTCCTTCACAAAATTCCTAAATAATCCGAGAGATTTCGCGGCAGTTAAGAGATAGCCCAGCGAAATATATTTATACATTATATAATCATCAGTTGAGGATCATCGTAAAGCTTCCACGCTCTCGACCTTCAACCCTAGCGATCGATGGGAAGCCCACGGAAAGGTTCATTATGCCTAATTAGTGAATTCCCACACACACGTACCGAGAAAAATACACAACTCGCGGCACGGAAAGTCAAATTTCCGGATATAATTATCTGCCTGCCTGCCATGGCGACGATCAACAAAAATACCCGATTAATACGGAGCGCGCGAACTTCCGCTGGAAAAGACGATCCCCGGCTTAGGTAACCAAACCCCAGGACGAACTGAAGCACCCTGGTAGAAAACCCGACGTTAGGGTTTTGCCCCTACACAAAAAGGTACCTGGCTCTGTTTATTATATTATTAATAAAGTATATAGTTTGTTATTTATCATCAGTTGTATAAAGGAATAAAGGAACTTTTGTGTGTAAACAATAATAATTATTTCTCTGGGGAAACAAATAAGCCAAATTAATTTAGCTGCAGCTTTTTAGGAATTCTTGGGTAATTATTTTTATATGTCGTGCAGTATTATGCAGAAGTTGCCTTCAAATTGGACATTTTTTTGGGAAATTAGTTGGGAAATTCATATTTTTCTATGCCAGCATTATTATCAGTAAAGCAATCCCCAAAACTGCTGTGCATAAAATTGTTTGAATCAATTTTGTCATAATTTCATTATGAGACTTTGAGTTTGTATTTAATTTGGGTAACGCCTCCTACATGCTCTTTGTAATAAAGATCCACTGGCTTTACTCATGCAACATTCAGTGCCGACTTTGCGGGTGCATTGCACGCAGAACTCGTGCCAACTGCCACAGATGGAGGCAGCCGGTGCGCGCCACAAAGTATTCCACAGAAATGCTGAGTGTGCGCATAGGGAAATTAAATTATCTCCAAGAAGTGACGCATTGGACACGCTGGAGTCACGTAGTATATTGATTTCAATTGCATTTATGCACCGAAATGGCAAAGAAATCAAACAAAAACCGAACTCAAATGAGAGAAGCTGCAAAAGGTATTTTGCGTACCACGATATATATATTTTTTTGTGTTCCCCCTAAAGTTGGTTATCTGAGATTGTTTAATGAAATTCGGTGTGTGTGAGTTTTGCGTGGGGGATTGCACAAAACGACACGATACGAAACGGATTTTCCAAGCGGACAACTTTCCATTTTGACAATGCTCTAATCCTGAATGCATCGCAAAAACTATCTGCCTCTGCCTATGTGCCTGTGCCTTTGAGTGTGGAGCGTGAGAAGAAACATTTGGTGCACGTAAATCTCGCTCGACAATCAATTAAAATTAAAATATTTTTTGTATCCTACAATGTTGGAGGAGCAGCGGTCTGGCAGAGCGGAGCGGAGCAGCAGCAGTCTACATATTCGAATTGACTTTTGATGATGTATCACGATTTATTGTTACCAAAAATGGTCGTCAAAGCGCGTGGAAAAGTGGATCAGGTAGTCGTCGTCGTCGTCGTTGTCGTCTGCAGGCAGGCAGCCAGACAGCCAGACAGCCATACGCTGATCGGGTCAGCCAGAGTCTTTTTGGATGGGGACTCCCACAGCTTTTGCGCCTCGTTTTTGCAAGAGAGAAACGTGTGGTGTGTGATGCAGCCTCTGAGATTAGGCATCTAGCAGCAGCGGCAGCAGCAGCGGCAGCACTAGAAGAGCCGCAGTTGCAAGAGCAGCAGCGGCGGCACCATCAGCAGATGATGGACGCAGCTGTCAGCGAGCGACCTGTAGATTTTGGGTTTTCTCTTTTTGTTTTAATTGCTGCACACGGTACACACAGCACACCCACCCATCAGAAAAGTGTAGCGCCACATAGTGGCAGGCAGCCAATGGGGTGCTGTGGCGCCAAAACAGCTACAGAGAGCGGACAAGGCGTGTCTCTGTGTATGTGCATGTTAATTAACGGTTCATGCACACACACACACACAAACAGGCACAAACAATCTGCGCTCTGACAGCGGGAACACACACGTATGCGGTGGAAGTCACCCACTGTTGGCGTTTCACACTTGTACAATCTTTCCCCCCTTTAGCACCAAACACACACACAAATGCACACACGTATAGTCATGGTAGTAGTAGCCGCTCGGCCACCCAATAACATGAGCGCCAACTTGTCATTTAAGCCTAGCTCCACCCTAACCTAAAACCAACAAACAAACCAAAGTGTGGCACACACACAGACGAACACGCCACCCAATCCACCTCTCTGTAGTGTGTTGAACTGGCGGGGCGAAAAGCCACCACGAAACTTTGGCGCTAGGCCCCCACCTGGCGCTCAACGACTGCTGCCTGGCCTCAGTGCAACTTTGCTGCGCGCCCCATTCAAACGTGTTCGTGTCCGCGTTCCGTTTTGTTTCAGTTTTCATTCGTTTTTCGTTTCGTTTCGTTTCGTTACGTTTCGTTTCGTTTTGTTTCGTTCGTTGCCGTTGTTGTTTCGTTACCGTTGCATTACGCTTTGTGTTCGACGTTCGCCGGCTTTTGGCGCATGCGTAACCGCCGTCTGTGGTCGTGTCCGTTGTTCTTCCTGCGCAGCGAGCGTTGCATTGTATTTTGTGGCATGTTGCGTGCGTGCGTTCCGTGTATTGTGTGTCTGATTTGAATGGCGTTTTAAGTGAAATTAAAATGACGGATGTGCTGTAATTTGCACACTCTATAACATAGATAGATTATACACCACCAGCACTCACACTCACACTCACACACACACACAAAGAGTGTCAATAAATACAACAAAAAATAGAAATAGAGAGAGAGAGAGAGAGAGAGAGAATATAACGAGCAGCTTGTTGTTGCATGCAGCATGTGCCTCTCCAGTTGATCGAATTAAGTGCCAGCTAATGTTCTGCGCTCGCAGCGCCCGCGGGACCGGGACCCGGGACTGCAATTGACTGCCACACACCGGATATGCAAGCGGCGCAACGTTCGTCGAGAGAGAGAGAGAGAGAGAGAAAAGAGTGTAACACCCCCGCCCAGGAAGCTGCAGCAATAAGTGCTAATCAGTAGTAACCCAGAACCACGCAGCGGCGCAGGCCCACACCCCGGCCCCGGATGTAGGGCAATAATTGCCAATTTCAATTTCCAAGTCCAATTGGAGAAAAATCTCGAAAATTGTGTGTGTGCTTTGTTTTGTTTTTTTTGTGCCAGTCCGCAGTCATGTCATGCCCAGGCAACTCGTAAAATACAATACGAGTACGAGTACACGAGTTCGAGAGTATTTCTGGCAAAAAAAAAATCCAAACTCTGACTCCAAGTAACTCTTGACTGCGCGTCACGCACCGCGAACAGGGATCGGAGCGGAGCCTCCCTTTCTGCCACTGCCACTGCCACTGCCACTCTCCTTCCTGCACTCTCACAATGCACAGGCTGGTGCTTCTTCGACTGCTGCTCTGGTGGCCAGCGGCGCTGCGTTGGCTGCCCTCAAGCCGCTCTTTTGGCAACAATCCCCCCTGCCACTGTTGATAAAAGGGGGATCCCAACACACAAACACACACAGAGACAGAGAGAAAGAATCGAAAAAGGGGGTAAAACTGCCAGCAAAAAGAGTATCAGACAGAGACAGAGACAGAGACAGTCTTAGTGTAAAGGTGCGTTGCACTTCCGCGCTCTTGCTCGTTGCCTTTTTGTTGTCATTGATTCCGCGGATAGCATGCGGCAGGGGCAGCGAACGGCAACAGCTGCTGCGACAATACTACGAGACGACGAGACGAGCCACAATAGTTGCAGCGATTATTTCGAGCATCCGCCTTCCACTGCTGCTCGCCCGCCTCCACCGTCTCCACCGTCTCCACCGCTCCTACTTGCCACCGCTGTAGTTGTTGCTGCTGTCTTCCGTAACGTGGCCAGAACGTTGCCGGGCAATTATTATTTTGTAAGACGTTTTACAATTTAATGGTTTTCATGGTAAGTACAACAGTACGCCAACGCCATATGCCATGACCTCCCCTGTAACTCCCTGCCTCGCTCGCTCACCAACTCCAGCAACTTGGCCCTCTATGTGGCACCTCAATGTTTGCTATAGGCACAAGGGGGAACAAAATAGGGGTAGAGACCAACAACCACTTGTTGCACTTTTTAGGGTAAACTTTAAATACTTATTATTTTTTATTTCTTGCAGAATGGACTTGGATCCGACCCTCTGTCAGCAAAGGAGGTGAGTTTTTGGATGGGAATATCTTTGGAAATAACTTAAGATGCTTTAGAATGTTAGATACGGAATCATTCTGATTGGATAAGTGGCTAGAATTATGCCTAATAGGTTTGGAGACAGAACGTGTCTTCGACACACCATTTTCTGATTGTTTTTCATGCTAAAAGGTATCCATTGATGGTTCTCCCTTATTTCTTAATGACATTTCTTTATCCACTTTCGATAGATCTTTCTTAGCGACGGCCTTGAAGCCAGCGCCATACAATGTCTTTTTCCGTGGCCATTATATTCCGCTAATAATTTAAAGTCCAAATTTATCAACTCTCTAAAAAACCGTTGTGCCAAATAACTGCTAATTATAGTCTAGACTCGCCGAAACCTTTTAACAATTATGCTTGAGCAGAGTGAAATATTTTCATGCTGGCGATACACTTCGGGCCATGCGAAATGACAATTGCATAGGAGAATTCCCAGTTGGCCAATTCGTTTGACTGCCTCATAAAACCCATCAATCTGGCTCAAAGGCAAAAGCCGTCGCCAGTAAAGCGCAGCAGCAGAGGAGCCGCATACCGAGCGTAAGACAATCCATAAAATTGAGGGAATGGAGGGAGCATTGCAACAGCAACAGAAACTGGGGGAAAAACTGAGTATGCCAACTAATGTCCAGGCGATCATTCTATCAATTGCGGCGCCTATGAGAAATTTCAGCACGTCTCAGCACAAATTAGCGGAGCAGAGAGACCATGCAGCGCCCCATAACAATATCATAAAGAAGCTGCAGGGGCAGGGGCAGGAGCAGGGGCAGGGGCAGGGGCAGGCTGCAGGATGATGTGCGGAGAATATGGGAAGGGGAATGCCGCCTTCCCCATCTCAATAACAATAAATCAATAGCCAAATGGGGCAATTAGATGGGAAAAAGAGAAAAATATAAATATAAATACCTTTGGACGGGGCAACATCAGTCGCGCATATCAATGGAAATCTTCAATCTGCTACATGGATTCGCTACCATCTTGATCTAGATTTTAATCTACATCTCCTGCTGCATCTCCATCTCCAACTCGATCTCCATCTCCTCTCTGCGGGCTTTGGCCAATGAAGTTGTTGTCAATGTTGTAGGATATAAAGCAGCGCCAAAAAGCCAAAGCCAAAGCCAAAGACATTGGCAATTGGCCCCGCGGCTGCCATTCGACACAATCGAAGACAAACTATCTAATCTAATGCTGGCAATGAGCATTTGTTTGTATAAATACGAGTATCTGTGTATCCGTATCCTATGGCTGTGGCTGTGGCAGTGGCAGTGGCAGTTGCAGTATCTGGCTGGCAGTTAGCGGCGACAGCACTAAACAACTGCTCTGATCGCGTGGCCAGCCAGGTTCTGGGTTTCTCCATCCACAGACCATCCCGTCTCCCTCCACCATGGGCATTGGTTTCGTTTCTATCGCATCGCCCACTCGCCACTGACATTTTTTCATAATTTGCGCTACAAGCCTGACAATTGTCGTTGTTGCCCACTGGGCACACTCTGGATGTTGAATGTTGGATGCTGGATGTGGCGGTTGATTCTCTGGTGTTGGTGGCATTGCTCACAGTTGTTCACAGTCGTGTTTCTGGCAGCAGGCACTGCTGCCTACCCTGCCTGCAAGTAGAATAAATAGGGTTACTCGGGGTGATATGTTTGGGTTCAACATTGTTAGCAACTTGTTTCCAGCAAGAATCATGAGCCGTTCTTGCTTTGTGGAAATATCTTAATTCCAATGAGGAATGATCCATCAATAAGAAGAAACCTTATTTATGTGTCTCAATCGATCTCTTTACCCATTTTATGCCAATATTCTATCTCAGATTTATTAATTTATTAATTGATTTACTTTTAATGCAACAACTTCCATCAACAAATAATAAATTCATAGACATCAGATATTTAACCACATTTATCCGTGTCGCCTCCATGGTAACTCCACGTCCGCGACAAAATAAATAGCCAAGTGTTGTCGCTGACGACTCCTCGAAGGTATCACCCCCCCGCAGCACACCACCACTCCCCCCACCACTTCGAATGCATATGCAGTGCCAAATTAAAATTTATCCATTTTATGGCGCTGCGGGCAGCTCATAACTGTTTCTTTGTTATTTCTTTGGGTGCTATGTGTGTATGTAGTACATTCGTGTGTATATATTTTGGTTATGGTTTTTATTGCCGTTAGTTTATTGGCTGAGTTGGGGGGCATTTCGTAAGCACATAAAATGCGCAACAATTGCGGTTTCAGTTTCGGTTTCGGTTTCGGTTTCATTCCCTCGCAATCTCCCTATCACTGGCACTCTCCTCCCAGAAGATTAAAGTGGCGAATGGAGAGGAGATACTCGCACGAGCCTGAAAAAGATATCGACGGAAGTCATTTGCGGTTGTTCCAGGCAGATGAATTCAATAAGCAAACAGCTACCAGACACGCACAAGCACAAGCACAAGCACACACACATACGATGGCTACATTCCAACACAATGCCCCCCTCCTCCACACAATGTTCTTCGCCTGTTCCCCTCTTCGCCCATCACTTTCGCATTCTCCATTCTCCACTCAGTGGCATTTTGTCAAACCTGATTAGGCAAAGCATCGGCTATGACTCTATTTTGTGGCTGGGCTGGGGTGGGGTGGAGTGGATATTGCATATTTAATAAGATTCCCCACTGCTTCTCACCCAGTCAATCCTATAATGATAATCTTTATTCTCTTTCTTCTACCATCTCCCATACAGGCAGAGGGCCCTCCGGTTCAGGTTGAACCAGTTGATTTGAGCCTACGTTCGCCGCGCGGTAAGTTGCTAATTATATAGTTAGTTAGTCAAGATCAACATCTATCTATGCATATCTGTGGGAAGAGAGTCTCTACTCTACGCTCTACACTCTTCCGAAAAACAATTAATCAATGGAGTTGCTCGCTCTAGAGGAAATCAGGTCACAGCTCGAAACGAAACTCTAGAAAAGAAGACACAAACCCAAAGCAATCGAAACCAAATCAATTTGCATTTCTACCAATATGAATATTGAATAAAATTTGGTAGGGCATTTCGTCTGGATTGCTTGAGAGAGTCTTTTTGGGGAAAGACTTCGGCTCCGCGTTGTGGGTGGATTCATGGAATTCATGGAATCGTTTGGCACATATTTTTTAACGATCGCTGAGGAGTTTCGTTAATCAGATTATATTTTATGAGCTGTTATTGTTTATGTAGAATCTAAAGGGAACAACGAGATTGTATCTATTCGTGACGATAGAAAGTAAATCTTTAGCAGCTGGCAAATGTTTGCCGAGGCTTTTCAGGATATGTTTCAAACACAATTTGCGGTCTGTGCAGCGGCTAATGAAAGTTCTAATGAAAGTTTATTTAACATCTAACTCTTCATTGTTTTTGTTTTCCCATCGCTATCTGTTCAAATCGTTCCGCAACATTCCTAAAAGCTTAATCCAAAACTAAAGCCACTGCGCAGGGGGGGGGAGCTTATCTGACAATCTTGCAGACAAGTGGAAACAAAAGAGGAGACAAAACGCTCATCAAGCCCAGCCATTCATACATGCATGAATGAATGCCTGAATGTCTCTGATGGATACACTCGTATCTGTATCTGTTTCTGTATCTGTTTCTGTTTCTGATGATCAACAGCAGTTGGGCTTATCGATCGATTGAGGGGGGAGAACTGCTGCTGCTGGGGCCCATTAGCTCCATGCTGATTCCCTGCTTATCGCTCTATATCCGACTCCAAAAGCGAACCCTTAACTGAACATGAACCTAAACGTAAACATCTGAGAGTGAGGGTATGGGATGTGGTGTGGGTTTATGTGTTGCTTTACCCACTTGACCAAACCAACCACCAACTGTTTTGACCATTTGACCTTTGGCAGCCTTTCTCTTTGCCTCACTGCAGAGTGTGTGTGTGTGTGTGTGTGTGTGTGTGCTGGAGTATGGAGCATGGAATATGTGTGAAGTTAACAGCAACGCCCCGCCAAATGTAGAAGGGAAAAGCTAGAGCTGACTAGATAAATAGATGGCTAGATGGTTGGCCATCCAGGTCGCGGGGTTTCGGAGTTTCGGAGTTTCGAGCTTCGAGCTTCGAGCTCGTCTTCTTCCACTGAGTAGCCGTAGGGTGCCCAGCGAGCGGTACACCTAATTTAATTAAGAAGCCAGAGAGCAGAGAGCTTACCTTAAATGGCTATACAGTAAGATGAACAGCTAAACAAAATAAAAACAGAGCCTGAGCCGAAGCCGAAGCCGAAGCCTAAGCGCGTTCATTAAAGCCCCCTAAAGCCCAAATCCCAAGCAGCCCAATCCACGTCGTAGACGCAGACGGACTCGAAGCTGTTGTCTCGCCGCGCATATTAATCAATTAGGCATGATATTAGTGAGGGCATCATTAATTTTGTCAATGCGCTCACCAGCCACCAAAAAGCCATTTGAGAAGCGCATAGAGAGGAGCGACGAGCGAGAGGGGCATGGGCATGGGCATGGGCATGGGCATGGTACGGCACGGCCAGAGCAATCTCTCATGCTAATGGTTTATGGCGTGCTACCAGCCACTACACCACACCAGCCAATCCACCAACCACAACAACCACAACAAACGAGCGACGATCGAGCGACCACCGAGCGGCCCAAAAGATCTGTGGCGAATGTGTTAAATAGCGTTAAAATTTGTAAAACAAACGGCACATAATGGTGCGGCTTAATTTCCAACCTTAACGGTCATCAAAATGTACCAAGCGGAGCCACGGACATCTCGCTCTCCCTCTGTCCCTCTGTCCCTCTCCTGTCTAGCGATTTTTCGGCTTACATAAATTATGGGTTTTAAATAATTATGCAATTAGCCAACGTAGCGATAGATAGCCTCAAATTGCCAATGAATGGAGGGCAGGCAAAGAGTCAGCAGAGACTCTGGAGATGGTGATGGTCCCGGTGATGGTGATGGTGATGGTGCCTCTGCCTGCAAGCCCCCAAGGCATTGCCCGAGGAGGAGACAGTGCCAAATTCCCACCAACTCTAATTGCAGGTAACTGCAGGGAGAGGTGAGAGCTTGAGACAATCTCTCTCTCTCTCTCTCTCTCTTTCTCGCTCTGGGAATCTGCAGCCGAAGATTCACGGCAACAACTACAACTTGATTTATTTAAGCTACCCAAACAGCCCATAAATAAAGCTGTTGAACTAGCCACCAGCCGACGAGGCGGGGCCTGGGGAACGGGCGCAGAAGGGTGGAGTCGTAGCCTCCCAAAAGCAGGAGAGCCCGGCCGATCGGGACATTGCGGCAGTGCCTTACCCAGAAAAACAAAAACAAAAACAACAACAAAGCAAGCAAAACATCTTAAAATCCCACACCAGTCACAGCACCCAGCACCAGCTACAGCTCCAGCCTGATCAACAGCCACACCACAAGCACACCGGCAAGCGATCGGCCTCTCGCCACTCAGGGGCATAGGCTTTCCAGGTTAAGTAGATGCGGCGACACGCGGGTCGTTGCCAGCGAGCGGACGACCTTAAGACGAAGGAGAGCCAACCTCACTGAATCGAACCTCACCTCCACACGGCGCAGCAGAGGAACGGAGGAACTAAAACGATGCCAGCCGCAGCATCCATCGAATGATATGCAACATTCAGTGAAGTGCACCCCAAAGTGCACCCTTTCGGGGCAAGGGAATATTGATTGCCAGGTGAAAATGTGACAAACAGGTGGAGGATGCAGTGGGAATTTCGAGCTAAGGAGTATTCCATTATGCATAAGAGATACAGGGTAGAAGTGATGAGCAATCGTTACAGGGCAATACCCGGTCTAATCCTTCAATCAATTGAAACTCTCTTACCGTTGCTGCACTTTTCATACTCCGAGTGTTTCGGGGGTGCTGCTGATTTGCCATCTGCAACTAAATCTTCCACAGAGTCACTGCAATCTCATAACTGCTGGCGGCACACACAGAGAGGAGGCCTCCACCTCTAGATAGCCTCGCCCAGATCCGCCGATTCCAAGCCCGCACAAAGCGATCCGGGGCAGGGATAGACAACCACAGGCAGGACGGACTGTGGTGATTGTTTTTTAATTATGCTTCAGCTGACACCCATGCGGATGCCCATTGAGGATGGAACTACGCTTGGGACGAGCTCTGGCTATGTTTCTGGGGTGCTGGATCTGTGGTACTTGGGCTGGGACATGGGCTGGTTAACATGGCGATGGCGCGTATGTAGCGCGGTCTGTCTCCCCTCCTCCCCCCGCCGGTCTGTATCGAGTTGACTTGACTTGACTTGACTGAGTGACTGTGACTGGCTTTTGGGGTTATGTGAAAGGTCAAGTTCGTGATCGCATTCAAACATTTTTGCCAACCACTCATCTTGCTGCGCAGATCGGGGCCCAAAGACCAGGCCCAGACCGAGACTGAGACTGAGACCGAGACCCGTCCCGGGCTGCAAGGAACACGAGTGTGAGTCGCAGCCGAAAAAAAGCACACAGAGAGAGAGAGAGAGAGAGAGAGAGAGAGCAGAGAGAAGAGACTCGAGCCAAGCGACGTCGCATCGTAGAAAAATTGAAGATGAGCGTGCCACCACCACGCCACGATTCTGCCATTCCCGTCTCTGTCTCTGTGGCTCTTTCTCTGTCCTAGTCCCAAACGCAAACCCAAACCCAAACCCAAACCCAATCCCAGAGTCAGTCTTCAGTCTCAGTCTCTCCCCCATCTGGTGGATCCCTCTCACCTCTGCACCGAATTGAGTGAATGTAAACTGTGGTTTACTTGTTTCCAGCGTTGTCATAGTAATTTTTCTGCACTATAACAACGGAGAGCGTCGCCTCCAACTCAGCGAGCGAACAACAAAACTCTGTGGCGATCGGGTGTACCGGTGCACGGGTCCTCGGGACAACCAGCAACAAACCAACAACGGTGGCAGCACTCACCCGAAAACATAGGAGAACAAGCAGAGAAAAATGGAGATGCTGATGACACTGGAGACACGTTGTCTCTGGCAATCGTGCAGCTGACACACCACCACCACCAGCAGCAGCAGCAGCAGCACCAGCAACTGCAACAACAAATACCAGACAGCATATGCCACACGAAGTTGGCAAAGATTACACTGGACAACAGGGACAGGGTGCGGCCTGCTCGCTGGAATGTCGTCCCAGGGGAGGGGCTGAAAATTGAAAGTTTTTGGATATTTGTGAGGAAGGTAAAAAGTAGATAACAACTTTGAGCTGAAAGAACCCATCAGCCACTGAAGAGCCCCCTAAGAAGTCCCCTCTTGAACCCAAATGAAAGCTCAGCTTAGTCTGTGCACGCTCCGTGCCCTTTGGGTGGAACCACATAAATCAATGTCCCCCCAAGACGGACGACTGCAGCTAGCAGCGAAACCTGCTGCACAGTGTTTGTTCCAGGGCAGACGTGTGCGCATCTTCTCAGACCCAGACCCAGACCCAGAACCAGACCCAGACCCACTAAGAACAAGAAAAAAAGAGGATCATGCGAAGAGATCCCAACCGAAAAAGTATCTCGTACACAAAACGAAACGAAAAATTGAGGGCCAGGCAGGCAAGACAACCACGCAGTGGCAGACACCAACAACACCACACCAAAAGTAGATCCACGCTCTCGTGAGCAAACAATTCGAAAGCTGACAACAACGACAACGACAACGAGTGCCTCTGAGGGGAGATCTTGGCGACGATCGATTCGTGTTAGTCATCACAGTCGACCCACACGAATCATAATGAAGGGGATTGGGGCTGCCAGTTGGCTGCCAGCATGTTGAAGGAGCTGCAGAGATTTCGGGGCCATTTATCGAATC